TGACAGCTCAGAGCCTGGATCCTGCTTGGGATTCTGTGTCTCCCTCTATCTCTGCCTCTCCCCTGCTTGTGCTCTCATTGATACAATGTTGACACAATGTTTAATGATATGATAAATCCCTAATTCTCTCAGCCAAACACAAATCCATGTGGTTTTGTTTTGGAGCTTTGTCTATCTCAAAGGTGATACTTACCAAATGGAAGAGTGTGGACGTGGAAGTATAAAAGTTCAAGACTCAAGCCTTCGTTCTCACTTAGATGGCCACTTCTTGTAGTATCTTGGATTAATGACTTAAATTCTCAGAACTTTACTTTTCGATTAGTTTAAGAAAGTGGGAGTAATAATTCCAATTTTATGCAGTTGTGTTTGGAGGACTGCACATGCAAGGGCACTCACTGGTCTTGACACATCAACAAAAGCTAGAACATGAAGAACTGATGAAGCAAAATAAATCAAACTGGGTTTTTGTATTTAGGTGACACAAAAGGAAATTAGTGTAATTAGGACACCTGGCAGAAACTCTCACCACATCCTCTAAGATGGAAAGTAGTGTGCTGCTTGTTAGACTCCAAAACTCACTAGTTGATGCAGGACGGTGTAGCTGAAATGATCTTTACATAAATAAAGTTAACTTTAAGTCCTGTCTGACGATGTGTTGGGGACCACCTCATCTGGGACAGGAGCTTTTTGTCACTCTCAGGCCCTCACAAGCAACAACATATTTAAATGATGAATTATATCGAGGTATATTCCAAGTCCTCGACCATCATACTTAGACTTTCAGGGTGCTGTAGACTGATGGTCAATTTCCTGAGGTGTCCGGGAGTGGAGAAGGGGGTGGGAGCTCATGTTCCCATACATTTAATCTACTTGCCTTGGGACTTTTCCAGCATCGTGAAATGATGTGAGATGTGAAAAGTGCATGCCTGCCTGGCCTAAGACAACTGCTTTTACTCTTCAAAAAAGAAAATCTATCACGTAGAGGGGCCAGACCCTGATTGACCAGTGTAATTTGCAGAGGTTGGAGTTTATTTTGCCAAATTATTTGTTACATTTCCTGATACATAGTGATAGTTTTGGAGTAAATGCTTTTTCTAAAAGGTAACCATTATTCATGAACACTGTACCACTCAACTAAAGGGCATACAGTGGGTAAGTATATTTAATTTCCTTATACTGAGCATTCAAAGTTTTCCCTTACACAGAAGCTGTGGGAAAGAGTAAGCACACACTTGGAAACTCTTTCTGCTTACAGATGTGTAAAGAAACCATTTTTTACAGTAGAGTTTCACTTAAGCACAGTTGGAGAGAATCTCAACCAGATGTGTTAAAAGTCACTTTAATCTTCCAAGATGTGGGTATTTCAGATTTCCCCACGCCCATGTATGTATTTCAGTAACAGTAGTCTGAAAATCATCTAGCCAGAAAAGAATGTTACTTGGTACTGTTCAGTTTGGAGGGGAAGAATGTTTTCTTTGGGAGAACAATAAAAAAAGAAAATGATCAGAAAAAAAAAATAATAATGGGAAAGTGGGTATCCTCGGTTGTCTGCTGTAGAGTCTAGGAGGAATCTGTTCAATTAAGGTAACACCCCTGGGAGAGGTATCCAGAAGTAGAAGTGAAATCATCAAAGTGATCTGAGAAATACAGAAAAATGTATAGGATGGTTTTGGAAGCCATAAAGAACTGAATCCCTGCTGTGAAAACAGCAGTGAAGAGTCTAGATTTTATTCAGTTCTGCTGTCTTGAAGATGGGTTAGACCAGTGGACTGATGAATACTGTGTTGTTTTGTTTGTTTGTGTTTGTTTTTTGAGTTGAGTTATAAGTTAACATGACTTACAGTTCCTCCCATTAAAGTGAATTGTGAGGTAGTTTTTAAGTGCATTAACAAAGCTGTGCAACCACTGCCCAGAAAGCAACACAGGGCGTTGAATGTTTAGCTTTTAGATGACGTATATTTCACATGCTGTTCAGTTTACCCTTCAAAGTGTAAGATTCAGAGGGTTTTCGTACATTGCAAACGTTGTGTAACCACCACCAATCTAGAACAAAGAAATTAGGTTATTTAGTAGAAAGGATCATATATTCTGCTTGTTCTTGGGTTTTATTAAACAGTTTGAGGATGAGTGAACATAGTTTTTAATGGATAGGTTGTTTGTACTGCAAAGTGTTCTGTTGCATAGCTACCACTGGTAAATTAATAGGAGGAATGTGATCATTTTAGTAATTTCAGTTCCATCCTTGTTTCTCTAGAAAATATAAAAAAAGGAATTTTTACATTTCTGCAGTAAGTGGAAGTCCGGAACTGAAATTGTCTGTCACCTGATTTCCTCCTTCTCAGGATCACGGATGGCGTTGCACGGGAAGTGGAGAGGTATTTTTCCTTCACAGCGGTTTGTCTGAGTAAAGTGGGCTGCTTTGGATTCAACTTTATCTGCTTTCGCCCTGAGAGAAGGGCTGGTCGTATTTCAACATTATGAGTCCATAGTTGTTGGGTGGAAATATTTTTGTGCAGCCCCGTGAAATTCCATTTTGGCGGCTGGGGTTAGAGAACGGCTGGGTGTTGCCTCTCAGCTGGAGGTCATACTGCCCCACGCTGACGGTTAGCACCCAAGTTCTTAGGCATTGGATTAGTGGTGTTTGACACGTGAGTTCATTCTTGAGTGCCTCGCCCAATGTTGCCAATAAAGTAGGATTAGGTCCTGTCGACCTATTTAAAACGTGTTCTAGGGCTGTGAAAGCAATGACAGCCTTCTCTGCAGACGCTAAGGTATGAGTCATGCACGTCTCCTCTGTACTTTTCTGGCAGGAGGAATGATTGAACGATGCTTTGTTCTCGGAATCTGGTAATACCGCGTTCGACCACCTGACACGTTAAATGCATTATGTTTAATGGCAATATAATGCCCATCATTGTCTTTTCAGCCCAAAGCCCAAAGAAGCACTTGAAGCATTGGACGCGCTACAAACCAATGACTCTCTTTGTGAGTATAATTTTATTTGCTCCCTAGTCATAAGTAAATGGCACAGGCCTAATGTTTGTTACGTTCTAGAAGCAGTGTTCAGTTCATTCATTATATGGGACTTTCATCTTGCTTGTAGTATATAGGCTTTTACAAAACTTCCATTGTACTCTCTTTCAAATAGTACCCTAAGAGGGACACCTAGGTGGCTCACTTTGTTAACTGCCTCACTTCGGCTCAAGTCATAATCTCCCACTTGGTGATTTTTGGAGCCTCCTTTGCATTCTGTATGTCTCTTTTTTGCCCCTCCCGCACTCGCACACACATGCTCTCTGTCTCTCAAAAATAAATAAACATTAAAATTTTTTTTAAACAAAAAAAGTACCAAAAAGAAGAAGAAGAAGAAGAAGAAGAAGAAGAAGAAGAAGAAGAAGAAGAAGAAGAAGAGGAAGAGGAAGAGGAAGAGGAAGGAGGAGGAGGAGGAGGAGGAGGAGGAGGAGGAGGAGGAAGAAGAAAAGAAGAAGAAGAAGAAGGAGGAGGAGGAGGAGGAGGAGGAGGAGGAGGAGAAGAAGGAGAAGAAGGAGAAGAAAAGAAACACAAAAACTGTTGTCATCCGCATTAGAAACTGTGGGCTAGAGGGCTTTTTGAGCCTCTGTTACCTTCAAGTTTGACTGTATTCTCTCACCCATAATTTTGCTGAGAATTATGGCATTCCATCATTTACTATCTGCTTATTCACAGACTCATGCACACTAGACATGTATTATACCATAGGATATGCTCAGGTACCCTGACCACCACCATTGCTGCCACCATCCCTGTCTTGTTGAAGCTTTTATCTCTCTGGGAGAAGAGACAAGTTTACCACATGTGCACAGGTACATGTGCATAGGTGCACAGTGGTAAGGGTGTCAGGAATGGAGGTGGAGTGATTACAGTTTAAAAAATGGTGACACACCCAAAAAAAGCTCTTTTTTTTCTTTTAAGGTTTTTATTTATTTTTGAGAGAGACAGAGAGCACAAGCAGTGGAGGGTCAGAGAGAAACAGGGTGACACAGAATCCAACGCAGGCTCCAAGTTCTGAGCTGTCAGCACAGAGGCTGACATGGGGCCTGAACCCACAAACCGAGACATCATGACCTGACGTGAAGTCAGATGCTTAACTGATTGAGCCACCCAGGTGCCTCGAGCTCCCCACTTTAATTAATTAATTAATAATTAATTAGTTAATTAACAATTAATTAGTTGATTAATTAGTTAATTAACAATTAATTAGTGGATTGATTAATTAATTAACAATTAATTAGTTGATTGATTGATTAATTAATTAATTGATTGATTGATTAAGAAACAGACCAAGCAGCAGAGGGGCAGACAGAGACGGAGAGAGAGAATCCCAAACAGGCCCCATGCTACTTGGACAGAGCCTGATGTAGAGCTCTAACTCACAAACCATGAGATCATGACTTGAGCCTAAAGCAAATTGAATGCTTAACTGACTGAGCCACCCAGGCGCCCCTCGAGCTCCGCACTTCAGAGTGGGCTTGCTGGGCCCAGTGGCAACAGAATTAACAAATGCGGTGTAGTTCACATTAAAAAAGGAGTTGAGTGACAGTACATTCAATTATCACAAGTAAGTAAATTCACTTGGTTGTAAATGAATTATATTAAAAGTTAAAGGAGCTGCTAAGTTATTGAACCTAAGTTACTGATTTCAAAGTAAAAGCTACAGGACCCACAAAAAGGGGAGGCAGTTGGGTGAGGAATCCCCATACCCCAGAGGTAGGTGGTAAGTGATGGTACTTAAACTGAACCTGGAAGGTGGGGCAGCACTTGACAATAAGCTCAGAGTGCCTAGAGGCACAGTACTGCAGGAATCCTACCCAACTAATTAAAAGTTTCTTGGGTCACAAGGGTCTGACAAGGAAGAGATAGACAATACCTACCTGGCACAGTTTGTCTTCAGTGGATATAGTGAGACTAAGAGAAGAGTAGTGAAGCCACTCAGAAAGGTTTGGCTTTCTGAGGACAGAGATAATGCAGTTAAAGACAAATGGGGGAAGTTTTGTGAGAATGTGCTAAAATGCGAAGGATTTTAAGCAGGAAGAAATGTGAGTTACTTGTTGGAGATAATATCCAGCCCCACGGGTTAATATGAGAGGCACTTGGTAACTCATCTGATGGATTATTTATTTAGCCTTTTTGGCACCATTTGAACTCCTGGGTAACAGAAATCTGTGTCCCTTGTCATGAGTTTATCAGAGCACTTTGGAGATCTGAGTAAATGACCTATTTCTGTCAGATTCTGCTTCAAGTGCTACATGTGCAACTGACACATAGTACACTGTTTCCTCAGTTACTAAAAAGTGAATGAGTGGGGACTCCTTGCAGAACACTTAGGGTAAACATGCTGGGAACCTGGTACCAGTCTTTTCACAGATAATCATGCAGTCAGTGATCGATCATATGTGTTTTAAAAGGAGATTAAAAAAAAAAAAAGTTAAATAGATGCCCTGCAAAGGAAGCTTAAGAACAGTTTCTGTTGAAAAGGATTCCTGTATGAACCTGAGTTTCAGAGACTTTTGAGGACTAGTTCTTATGAGTGAGACATCTCTCTCTATAACCGTGTCTAAGGTTCTAAAGCTCAAGAGTGTACTGTATATACTGTATAGCACCGTGCCTGGAGTAAGTGAGGGTTGTACATATACTGGAATCAAGTAGCAAAAGCAAGGACGAAGATTGAGACTGTGCAACTCAGACTATTGCAGTGTGAACTTGACAATACTTGAACTGGTAAACAGTGAAGAAAGGTAGAAGGAAACACATGTATTGATCTAGCAAAGTTCAGAGGTAATGGGCGTGGCTTGTTTTGAATTTAGACTGGAATTGCAGGTGGCTTGTGTTGAACCGAGACTGGAATTGCAAGAGAATACTGGGATATATCAGATGGGCTGTGAACACAGCATTAGACATAATTAAGGTGCAGTGGTGTGTTCAGCGTCTGGGAAGGTGGTGGTAGTGGCAGAGGTGCTTGCATAAAGATAAAATGGAGAGTTGGGTTGTGAGCCTGGATTGTAGTGTGAGGTGCACAAAGTGAAATTTCTGTTTGAGGGGACTCCAGATCTTCTTAACCACACAGACCCGTCTATTTGATTAATGAACTCCTGTCAAGGATTCCTCTTCCCCACAAGAACTAAAGTCCAGTTTAACTTCTCCTAAACTAAGGCACTTCATCTGCTAAATCTGGGTAATCTTTACCCAGACAGATCAGATAATCTCTTCATTTTCTTTTGCAGACACCTTGTCCATCTATGGGATCCTGCAACCAAAAGAATGCTCCCCCTCATAATCTTTCCCCAAAACAGATTCAAGTATGCATTCGTTGGAGATGAAGTAAACATTCTCAATTCAATTTCCACAGACACATTGGGTCTTCCTGGGAGGGGTGAGCAGAAGAGGGAAAGATAGTTTACATCTCTATGAGGTGAGCTCAGAGAGGTGGTAGAATTCTGGAGTTATGTCCTAGCAGTTTGTGCACCTTTTCTAACTATAGCAATGGGTTGAATACTTTTTAACGGGTTGTGAAAGCCTGGGAGTATTTGGAAGGTGGGGATTCTTGCTTTATCAGGGCTGTTCAGGCTAAAGGGGTGTTGAGGTCTGGACCAGGACTTATGCAGCATCCAGTCACTTATTTAGTAAAGATCCTTCCATTTTTCCTTTGTCCTTTTTGTTATTGTTACATTCTAGCTCTTTCCTTCTCAAAATCGCAAACCCAGAGGCAGGGCTAATGATGAGTAAGGACACAGAGTAAGTAAATGGAAAATGGGTTACGCTATTGTATGGGAAATCTAGCATGCCTTGGTTGCTTACATGTGATGGTTGAGCATACGTGTGTGTGTGTGTGTGTGTGTGTGTGTGTGTGTGTGTGCGCGCGCGCGCGTACGCACGGGCAGGGGTGAAGGAAGGAAGAGCATGCACACACCTGAGTGGTTGCATCTATCTTCTCCTTGGAATCTTGACTGCATTAACTCAAAGAGGTCTCTAATGGCCATTGTACAAGAACATAGGATCCATAAGTATAGTCACTTCCACTTACAGCACGTACTAGGACAGGTCCAGGTGTTGGTTGTTTTCATTCAAGCACATCCATCGAGTATTGAGGATTTCCAGCCTAGTAAAATATTATTGTGTTCAGTGCAGCATAGTGTTTTTGCTGCGTAGGCAAAAGCATCTTTGCTTCAGTGATGTACCATCATACCTGTTTCTGATCAGACATCATCAGCATCAAGGAGACAGGAGAGCATTTCTGCTCAGTGTATGACCCCAAGGGCTGTTTTGCTGTTTCACTGTGTCTCACACACACAGCAGAACAGGAAAAAGTGAATAATGGGAGTCAAGACACATGGACTTGGTTGTCCACTTGGGAATTTGGGCCAAATTACAGGGATATTTGTCTGGGACCTAGTGGTCCTAGGGTCAGATTTCCTTGTTCTGCTTTGTGGTTGGTTTATTCAGGCATATACAGTCCACCAAAACTTCTATAAGAGTGAATTTCCACATAAGGATATTTCTGAATTGAACGATAATTCATTAGTGTACTCTTTTACAAACAGGATGTTGTTTCCTTGTAGAAGAATCATGAAGATCTAAGTAAAAGTCCTGAGTGCAGCGTTCATTAATTATATGACTTTGGCAAAAGTGTATAACTTCTCTTGAGCCTCCCGTTTTCTTGGTAAATGGTAATAATACACTTTCTCATCAGGGCACTCTAAAGATTCAGTGAGTGTCTTAGTAACAGTGCTACCTGGCATTTTCTGGATACAGAATAGACATCCTGCCTCCTGCCCTCCCCACACTTGACAGCATTTTGTGGAAACTTTCAACGGATTTCTCCTTTTGTAAAGAGAATTCCAATCTTTCTTCTGGTTAGGGAATACCATGTTGGAAAGCAGGATCACCCCTGAAGTATCCATTCCTCTTTTCCCTGTAGTTAAGATCCTGAGGTATTTGTCAGGTATTCC